TCAAAGTGTGTCTCCAGACTGCTTTGATCAAGTCTGATTATAAACAATAGATTTAATTCATGTTTACTATTAGAAGCTGGATATATTCACACTCTGCTCAAACACAGCTGTGTTTAAACCCCTAATAAGAGTGATTTTAGCATACTAGGTGCCCTTAAAGTAATGAGACACTCTAAAGCCATATTCTGCTTTACTCTATCACTGCCCGACTCTGAAGTGAGTGTGTTTTTACTGATGCCACTCATTCCTCACACTGTTCCTGCTGTGAATAATGTAATCAGCATGCTGTGGATCTTATGCAAATACAGCTCTGCTGAGAATAGATGAAATAATGCGAGTGTTAAAAACACATCTGACACTCTTATATAACCGGCGCTCATCTGACACAGAGGTATTTTACTATTCATATAGTGTCTGTCACACAAAAGCTGCACGGCGAGATGCATTTTATTTTAGTAAAATGCTTCTTAAACATTTACACTCACCGGCCACTTTATTAGGTACACCTTACTAGTACCGGGTTGGTCCCCTTTTGCCTTCAGAACTGCCTTAATCCTTGGCGGCGTATATTTAATAAGATACTGGAAATATTCCTCAGAGATTTTGCTCTATATTGACATGATAGCATCACACAGTTGCTGCAGATTTGGTGGCTGCACATCCATGATGCTGATCTCCCGTTCCACCACATCCCAAAGCTGCTCTATTGGATTGAGTTCTGGTGACTGTGGAGGCCATTGGAGTACAGTGAACTCATTGTCATGTTCAAGAAACCAGTCTGAGATGATTGAGCTTTATGACATGTGTTATCCTGCTGGAAGTAGCCATCAGAAGATGGAGACACTGTGCTCATAAAGGGATGGACATGGTCAGCAGCAATACTCAGGTAGGCTGTGGCGTTGATGCTCTGTTGGTACTAATGATCCCAAAGTGTGCCAAGAAAATCTCCCCCACATCATTACACCACCACCAGCAGTCTGAACCGCTGATACAAGGCAGGATGATCCTTGCTTTCATGTTGTTGAGGCCAAATTCTGCCCCGACCGTCAGAATGTGTCAACAGAAATGGAGACTCATCAGAGCAGCAACGTTTCTCCAATCTTCTATTGTGCAGTTTTGGTGAGTCTGTGTGAATTGTAGCCTCAGTTTCCTGTTCTTAGCTGACAGGAGCGGCACCCGGTGTGCTCTTCTGCTGCTGTAGCCCATCCGCCTCAAGGTTGAAAATCTCAGCAGATCAGCAGATTCTGAAATACTCAGCGCAGCCCGTCTGGCAGCAACAAATATTCCACGTTCAAAGTCACTTAAATCCCATTTCTTCCTCATTCTGATGCTCAGTTTGAACTGCAGCAGATCCTCTTGATCATGTCTACATGTCTAAATGCATTGAGCTGCTGCCATGTGATTGGCTGATTAAAAATTTGCATTAACAAGCAGTTGGACAGGTGTACCTAATAAAGTGGCCGGTGAGTGTATATTACACTATAGTAATGATGTGATCTCTCATATATTTCTTATATGATCTAAATGAACAGTTTTCTGTATTTTGTGGGTCATTTTTAAAAAATTTTTCCAATTTATTTCTGCTTCTGAATTGCATTATGGGATCTTAATCTTTCTTCAAACAACTTTTAACCTTGAAAAGCTGTAAAAAGTGACTTTTCTGCACTTTTATAATAGTCTGCAGTGCTATATTGTCTGTGTTGGTGTTGTATATTGTGCTACAGAACCGTTTAATAAGCTTAATCATTTTACAGACTTATTTCTGTAGATATTATTTCTTTCAAACATCTAAAATGTCAATAAAAGTCACTTTGTTAAAGTGTAGAGTTGAATTTTCAACATCAACCGACGACAGATCAGAGATCAACATCCCATAATGCAATTCACAGGTATATTGTACAGTATACGGGAGGTCAATTCATCCATTCATTCATTTTCTTGTCGGCTTAGTCCCTTTATTAATCCGGGGTCTCCCCAGCGGAATGAACCGCCAACTTATCCAGCAAGTTTTTACGCAGCGGATGCCCTTCCAGCCGCAACCCATCTCTGGGAAACATCCACACACATACACTACGGACAATTTAGCCTACCCAATTCACCTGTACCGCATGTCTTTGGACTGTGGGGGAAACCGGAGCACCCGGAGGAAACCCACGCGAAGGCAGGGAGAACATGCAAACTCCACACAGAAACACCAACTGAGCCAAGGTTCGAACCAGCGACCTTTTGTGAATTTGTGAACTGTCAATACATTTTAGCACAAATTTGCTGTTTATAACGGGTTTTTACCTTAACTTCTTGAAATGCTGATATTTATAATCCCCTCGACGCCTTCATTCATCATTTCTGAGGGATCTCCCGTGTGTTTTTGATGCAGCTCAGAGGGAAATGTGATTAGCGCAGTTCTCCATCATCTGACACCACTGACCCGCTTTCTGCAGATCCTCTATCATGAAGGAAACACAGAACGCCTGCAGATACAGCCTTCATTTCTGGACCAACAGTGTAATCTGCTTATTATTCACACAAGAAAACAACACCAGAAATGACTGTAAAACTGAAAACTGACATTATAAATCTTAAAAAAATGATTTTATTAAAGTCAAAAGCATTGCTTATCGATCTAAACTAATTCAATTGTACCAAATAACTTTTTTAAATAGGTTAAATCAATCTTATATAGCTCTTTATGTTAACAGATGCAGGTGTGTGTGTGTGTGTGTGTGTGTGTGTGTGTGTGTGTGTGTGTGTGTGTGTGTGTGTGTGTGTGTGTGTGTGTGTGTGTGTGTGTGTGTGTGTGTGTGTGTGTGTGTGGACGGAAATAATGAGTTCTCGTGTTTTCTTGGAGGACGCTGAGACTTCCTGACAGCTTATGTAAGATTACTGTATGTGAATGGAGGAGTTTTCTGCTGCTAAAACACATGATGAGAATCCACTCTGGCGTCTTGAACACAAGACCAGCGATCATTTAGAGAAATGAGCACAGATCAGATCAGCTATCAGAATAAGCGCTGTCGGCAGAGTCAGACGCCTGATTAATAACACTTTACATTAAGTCCTGTTCTAATGAAATCCTCAGTGAAGTCAGCTCACGGCGGGTCAGTGAGTTAGTCATGTTGATAAACACACGTCTGTTCATTCGCAATGTGGGCTCGCTCCGACTCTTTTGGGTTGTAATAATTTTGCACATGTCCATGATGCAGTAATAATGAATATCATGTATAAATAGTTCATTTACTTAACTTAATATTTGGGCGGTTCATTCCGCTGTGGCGACCGCAGATGAATAAAGGGACTAAGCTGAAGGAGAATGAACCTAATATTTGAGTTTGATTTTAACTTATTACCTCACATTACTGTCAATCCATCCATCTTTTCATCCATCCATCCATGTTTTAGTCCATCCATCCATTTTAGTCTATCCATCCATCCATACATGTTTTAGTCTATCCATCCATATTTTAGTCCATCCATCCATCCATCCATCCGTCTGTCCATCTATTCACTTATCCATCTATGTTTTAATCCATCCATCCATGCATCTATGTTTTAGTCCATCCATCTATCCATCCGACTATCTATCCATCTGTTCATCCATGTTTTGGTCCATCCATCCATCCATCCATCCATCTGTCCATTCATGTTTTTGCCCATCCATCTATCCATCCATCTTTCTATCTGTTCATCCATGTATTGATCCATCCATCCATCTGTCCATCCATCTGTCCATCCATCTGTCCATCCATCCATCCATCTGTTCATCCATGTATTGATCCATCTGTCCACCCATCGGTCCATCCATCCATCCATCCATCCATCTGTTCATCCATGTATTGATCCATCCATCCGCCTGTCCATCTATTCACCCATCCATCTATGTTTTGATCCATCCATCCATGCATCCATGTTTTATTCCATCTTTCCATCCACCCATGTTTTAGTCCATCCATCCATCCATCCATCCATCCATTTGACTATCTATCCATCTGTTCATCCATGTTTTGTTCTGTCCATCCATCCATCCATCCATCCATGTTTTGATCCATCTATCCATCCATCCATCTGTCCATCTATACACCCATCCATCTATGTTTTGATCCATCCACCATGTTTTGGGCCATCTATCCATCCATCCATCCATCCATCCATCCATGTTTTTGCCCATCCATCTATCCATCCATCTTTCTATCCATACATCTGTTTATCCATGTTTTGGTCCATCCATCCATCCATCCATCCATCCATCCATCCATCCATCCATCCATGTTTTTGCCCATCCATCTATCCATCCATCTTTCTATCCATACATCTGTTTATCCATGTTTTGGTCCATCCATCCATCCATCCATCCATCCATCCATGTTTTTGCCCATCCATCTATCCATCCATCTTTCTATCCATACATCTGTTTATCCATGTTTTGGTCCATCCATCCATCCATCCATCCATCCATCCATCCATCCATCCATGTTTTTGCCCATCCATCTATCCATCCATCTTTCTATCCATACATCTGTTTATCCATGTTTTGGTCCATCCATCCATCCATCCATCCATCCATCCATCCATCCATGTTTTTGCCCATCCATCTATCCATCCATCTTTCTATCCATACATCTGTTCATCCATGTTTTGGTCCATCCATCCATCCATCCATGTTTTTGCCCATCCATCTATCCATCCATCTTTCTATACATACATCTATTTATCCATGTTTTGATCCATCCATTCATCCATCCATCTATCTTTCTATCCATCCATCTGTTTATCCATGTTTTGATCCATCCATCCATCCATCCATCCATCCATCCATCTATCTTTCTATCCATACATCTGTTTGTCCATGTTTTGATCCATCCATCATCCATGCATCCATGTTTTAGTCCATCTGTCCATCCTTTAGTGCTTTCATCCATCCATCCATCTTTTTTGTTTATCCACCCATGCATTAATCAATCATCCATCTTTCATTCATTCGTAAAAGACGACAGACATTGTGATTTGTTAAAAATCCAAAGCTTGTTCTGTACAGACAATAAATAGTCGTTGCAAAGGTAAGACATGATTTCCGTTCCTCAAACTAACATCTATACAGCTGATATGAAACTCAAGTTTTAGTAGGAGCCCAGAAACGTTTGGGGTGTCACTACAGCACCAACACTGGTGTGGGAAAACAAACAAACAAACAAACAAACGGTTCCAATGAGTCACATGCTTGATCCCCAAAACCCCGCCCACATCCTCAAAACCCCGCCCACCCCAACTGGCATCAAAAGGCGACCGCTTAAAACAGTCCATTACAAAAAGAAGAAGAAGAAAAAGTCAGTGTCTTTTTATCCAAACAGTCTTCCAGCGTCCCACCAGAGTCTCCTGAAAAACCATGAATGATCTACTGAGTGGCGATTGGAGGGTTTTGGCTTCTTCAGGCTGAAGCTCCAGAGACACGGTCTCCAAGGTTCACTAGCGCCCAAATATCAGGCCCTCCATGGAGAGCCTCCTGAGGTCTCAGACTTCACAGAGATACCGTTAGCATCTTCTTCACGGAAGAAACCTTGCTATGGTCGGTGGAACCTGCAAGACACAGAGAGAAGACGACGGTGAGTGCGAAACACAGACCATCATCCATCCATCAAGAGAATAATAACAGAAGAGCACTGAGTGCGTGCAACTGTGTGTGTGTTCAGGTATCTATCACTTTGTGGGGACGCATATCATGATTTTGTATGGTGCGATCCCGAGTTAACATCTATGCTGATCCTGGAATATAATTTTTGTTGGAAAATGTAATCCATACCTATTCCCTACACCTAAACCCAACCAAAACTAAAAATTAATCCCCAAATCAGATGAAAATAATAGTTAACTATCATATAGAAGTAACCTAACCTAACACAAACTGTAAACATATCCCTTAGCCCTGATTGGCTGACTGGAATGTTGTTCCAGGATAAACATAGATGTTAATGCAGGAACATGTCCTACTTGATGAAATCAGGTTGGCGATGTGGGGACCAAATGTCCCCACAAGTATAGTAATACCAGTATTTTTGTTTTTTGTCTCATGACGGAAAAACAGCTCATGAATCACACAGAATTTTAAGTATTTTATTTACACATGAAGCATTTTAGAGACAAGTAAAACAATACTGTCCTGTTTTTAGAAATCATGTGTGAAAATTAAGTGAGTTTTTTACCTAAAACAACTAAATCATTTGGGAATGGGGGAAGCAAAATAATGTTATGTCAAAGAAAAAACAAGTTTGTTTAACTTTTTCCATTCATCCTTTTTTTTTCGGCTTAGTCCCTTTATTAATCCGGGGTCGCCACAGTGGAATGAACCGCCAACTTATCCAGCACGTTTTTACGCAGTGGATGCCCTTCCAGCTGCAACCCATTTCTGGGAAACACACCCCACACACATTACGGACAATTTAGCCTACCCAAATTCACCTGTACCACGGGTCTTTGTTCTGTGGGGGTTCTGTTCATCGGCAGATTATTTTGTTCGATTTCAGGAAAAACAAACAAAATTTTGACTCATTATTTTCTAAAAACAAGACAATATATTTCACTTGTATGAGAAAATGTTTCTTGATTTAAGACTTTTTAAATATTTGGACTAGAAACAAAACAAAAACTCAAAGTAAGAAAAAAGCTTTTGCAGTGGTGTGTGTGTGGTCCTGGTAGTCGCATTGTGGGGACCCCACAAATATAGGAATACCAGGATATTTTGATCTTGTGGGGACATTTATAATGAGGATAACAGTTCATAAATAAATAAATCACACAGAATTAAATATTTTGTAGTATTTAGGGGTAGAGGGTGAGAATATACAGCCTGCTCTGTACAGTATAAACATCATTATGTCTATAGAAAAAAAATGAAAACCCAACACGAGTAAGTGTGTGTATCTACTTAACTATCTTGTGTGGACAAACTTGTAGCCAAAATTTTATATTATAAAAATAAACAAAGGTCTATTTTGTTTTTTTATTATTATTTTTCAGGGTTTTTACCTTTATTCAATAGGACAGTAAAGAGTATTGACAGGAAAGTGTGTGGAGCAGAGAGAGGGGAAGGATCGGCATAGGACCACGAGGTGGAATCGAACTCGAGTCGCCGTGAGCACCAGAGTGCATGTGTCAACACACCACTACACCATTGGCGCTGACAACAAAGGTCTATTTTAATTGTAAATTGCCTAACGTTTTCTCTGAACATCCATATATAAAAACATAAAAACATGTAATGTCCCTAATTTTTTTAAGAGCGTGTGTGTGTGTCTACACTGCAAAAAAAGCGCTTTTCTTACGTTTTGTCTTGTTTCTAGTCCAAATATCCTAAATCAAGATGCACATTTTAGACAAGCTAAAATATTATCTCGTTTTAATGACATAATGAGCCAAAATGAAGTGAGTCAAGCAAAATAATCTGCCAATATGTTAAGCAGAACAATCTTGTTTTCCTTTTGACATAAGATTATTTCTCTTCCCCCATTGGCAGATTATTTAGCTTGTTTTCAAGAGTTCACCCTTAGCTGATGATTGATAATAAAGCGTGTTTGGCATGTTGTCCCTGAGCTCATAAGATCCTCGAGCCCTGGGTTCCCTCCCGTTGCAAGGCGAGAGGGGAGTTTGAGCTCAGGTAGATCTCGATGACAAAAATATTTTGGATTAATTATTTAGGGTGCTTGTTTTTGAACTGTGGGAAAAAAACGGAGGACCCGGGGAAAACCCACGGGGAGAACGAGCAAAACTCCACACAGAAATGTCGCCCGATTTGGAAGGGAATTAAACCAGGGGCATTCTTGCTGTGAGGCGACAGTGCTAATCACTGGCCACCGTGTCGCCCGTGAAAGGAGGGAAAGTAGGGTTGGGTGGGGGGGGTTTCTTCAAGACGAAGATATTGAGATGAGAAAAGTCTGGTTGTTTATAGTGAGTTGAGGATCGTCTGATAGGATAATCAGTCATTAGCTAAAGTTGGAACAGCTGTGAACAATCATAAGCACGTGATCCTCTCGACATTTGTTTATAAATAAACATCACTTAAGGTAAAACTCACTTCATTCTGACTCCTTATTTCTGAAAACACAACAATATTTTTCCACTGCTTCTTGATTTTAAGAATTCTTACACATTTGCACTAGAAACAAGACAGAAACTCCAGGACTAAAACAGCAGTGTAGACTCGAAAGCACAATCTAGCACAGACCCAACAGGACCGCGAGCTCGTTCAGCGATATCTATTTGTGCAGCAGAAATGAGGTCTAGCGTAAGCTAAACATGAGCAAGCATTTGTTATAGATGTCGACGAGCTCTAATGTGTGCTGATCCTGCAAATCCCACAGCCCAGATACAGATATATATAGAACAGCCTCCCATATTGATCTACTGGATGTGTTCTCGCACCTTTATCAGTTACGCAAGAGACCGCGACGAGTAATCTATCGTTGTTTTTTTTTTGGTGCATGGTTATGCAAACATGGAACAATATCTGGAGCAGGCCACGTCCAAACTAGATGTATGATTGTGACGGTATCATGACCTTGGATAAAAATATCACAGTATTGTGATCTCTGAAAACTTTTATAGCGCTTTTAAAACAGTAAACCCTGAATCCAGATATGGCCCCATGCCTATAATCCAAACAGATATCCTGCAGACCCACACTGACCTTGTGAGGTGTTTGCTTGATGCATGAACCTCCATCTCGTTGCTCTTGAACTCGTTCAGCTCTTTGCGTATCGCCGCCTGCAAACACAAACAACAACAATGAGCAACCGGAGCACATGGAGGAAACAAGATCGCTTGTTTTCCAGCTGATGTTTTATAAATGATCAGTTCTGCTTCCGTTGACTTAACGTGAGCTGCTCGCGAAAACACCACAGTCATCTCTAGAGCAGTGTTTCTCAACCACATTCCTGGAGGACCACCAGCTCTGCACATTTTCCATGTGTCCTTAACCAAACACAGCGGAGTCAGATCATCAGCTCATTAGCAGAGACTGAAAGAGCTGTAATGGGTGTGACAGATAAAGGAGACATACAAAACTGGTGGGCCTCCAGGAATGTGGTTGGGAAACACTGCTCTGGACCATATTCATTAACACACTGAAGCAGCGTTCACATGTTTGTGGGTCTATAAGATTTTTTATTTACATGTTTTCGATCTCTTTTGCTCACTAAGGATGCATTAAACTATTTAAATCACAGTAAATACTGTATTTTTAAATATATATTATACTTAATTGCTATAATTATTAGCCCTTCTGTACGGTTTTTATTATTATTTTTTCCAGATTGGCTACAGAACAAACCACTTTTGTCTAATAACCTATGTAATTAACCTAAATTGACTGTTAATTAACCTAGTTAAGCCTTTAAATGTCACTTTAAGCTGAATACTAGTATCTTGTTATGGCAAAGGCAAAATAAATGAGTTATTATTAATTAGGTATTAAAATTCATTTATTTTATTTTCGGCTTAATCCTTTTATTAATCAGGGGTCGCCACAGTGCAATGAACCGACAACCAATCCAGCATTTGTTTTACAAAGTGGATGCCCTTGCAGCTGCAACCCATCACTGGGAAACAGGTATTAAAATGATCATGTCTTGAAATTCATGATGCATTCGGGGAATATCTGAAAAATAATTACAATTTCACAGGAGGGAGAATAATTTAGACTTGAACTGTGTTTCTATATAAACACTAAAACTAAAACTGTAAGACACTGACTTTATTATGCAATTCATTACTGCAAAATTACACGTGATCCTTCAGAGATCGGTCTAACGTGCAGATTTGAGCTCAAGAAACATCTCTAATTATTATTAATGTTCAGAACAACTGTGCTGCTGCTTCTTATGTTTGCTTTATTGTCTCATTTCTATGAATAAATTCATATAATAATGCATTAATGAGCATTTTTTTTTACAAATTATTTAAAAAATTGTATGCAATTTTCAAATGAGCTATCTTTATTTTCACTATTGCTCAATTTAGTGCATCCTTGATGAATAAAAGTATTACTTTTATTTTATTATCATAATTTTTGTAACATTTTGGTCTGTATTTCGTATGATTTTTCACCCAGAACAGGCCATGTTTTTCACTAAATGTATTTCTGCATGATTTTATTAAAGTGCTCTACAGTCCATTTGTAAATACACTGTATATGAATATGCACGATGTTTGTCCTGCAGGGGGCGTGTGTCAGCCTCTGCACTGACCTTATCAGAAGCTGAGAGTCTGGTCCAGGGTTTGTCTGCTCTCCTGTCATAATCCTGAGCTTTGGCCACTTCCACATAGTCACTGAAGCGGATCAGAATCTTTCTGTCCCGCAGCTCGTCAACAGTCGGCCGCTGGTTGAGCTGAAAACACAACAAGAAGAGGAAGAGAAGCTTATTCAACCTGCTGCTTCAGGCAAATGCTGTTAAAGGGATACATGTACACATCTGGCCCTCATTTAATTCTGCATTTATTTATGTATGTATGTATTCATTCAGTTATTTACTTGTATTTTTTCCCACTTAGTGTTTTTGATGTATCCAAGTGTGTACCTATACAGTCTCTTTTTTATCCTTTTTTCTTTCCACCTCTGTTCTTGATGGTGGTCATGTTTGTATAATGTAAAAAATGTGAAATAAATCATTAAATAAGAACAGCTCACCCAAAAATGACAATTCTGTTATCATTAAATCGCTAAACATGAAAGAAGATATTTTAAAAAAATTCTGAAAACCTGTAACCATTGACTTCCATAGGATTTGTTTTTCTTACTATGGAAGTCAATGGCTTACATTTTCAGCATTCTTCAAAATATCTTCTTTTGTGTTCAATAGAAGAAAGAAACTCATTAAGGTGTATAACCACTTGAGGAAGAGTAAAAACTGAGTGCATGCTAATTTTGGGGTGATCTACGCTTTTAGGTTGAGGCTGTAACGCTGATCAAAAATTATAGTTACGCTTATTATTCAATTATATGGCTAAATAATTGCTTATTCTCGCTTAGATCATCACTAAAATGGAAAAATAAAAAATGAAAAAGTCATTTTAGACAAGCAAAACAATACTGTCTTGTTTTCAGAAATAATAAGTCAGAATGAAGTGAGTTTTTCTTCAAAACAAGAACAAAAAACAGGATTATTTGATTTGTTTTAAGGACAAACTCACTTCATTTTGCATATCATTTCTTAAAACATCTGCTTGTCTAGAAAATGCTTTTTAATTTAAAAGTTTGAAGATATTTGGACTAAAAACAAGACAAAAAAATGAAGTAAGAAAAGCTTTTTTTGCAGTGTTGTGGCTTATTGCAACAGAAAAATAAAAGAAAAAACATGACAGTGGTGAAAGAATGATTGCATTTCAGCAATAATATGCATATTAGAATGATCTGAGAGAGGATAAGCAAATATTGAGCCATTTAATTGAATAATGACAGCATGCCAAAGACAATTATTGCTTTAATATAACTTCAATAAACATACTTTAAGATTTTAAGTGTTTAATATTTCTATTTATTATCAGATATTATCATTTGTGACCCTGAAGCACAAAACCGAATGCTGCACGGGTATATTTGTAGGATCAGCCAATTATCACATTTTATTTTAAGACAAAAATCACGGGAATATTAAGTAAAGATCATCTTTTATGAAGAGATTTGATACATTTCCATCTATAAGTATATCCAAACTTAGTTTTTGGTTAGTAATATGCATTGCTAATAACTTAATTTGGACAATTTTAAAAGTTTTTAGATTTTTTGAAGTCTCAGATATTCACATGTTGTATCTTGAATGAAACCAGCGATGAAAAGCTTATTTATTCTGCTTTTAGATGACATATACACCTCAGTTTCAACAAACTGACACTTGGTTTTGTTTTTAAAACTGTTCTCAGAAAGTAGGATGAAGCCTCTGCTGTACACTGAATGACTGTTATTATAGCAGTAATTGAGCCTTACGACACATCATACACACGTAAATACTGCATGCTGAGGAGGAAAAACACACGTATATGAGGCTTGCTCAGTGAAGTGTTCTTAAGGAGAGATCACAAACCTTTCTGTTTAGCCTTTGCTTGATTTCCCGTCTCTCCTCTTGTTCTGTCTGGTCATTCCTCTCTGCAAATCCATCAAAAACACACACAGATGAGTATAAAACACACACACACACACACACATACACACACACAGTCCACCGAGGAACAGATTAAGTTTGTAATCCAGCACAAAACATGTAGAGCACGATTCAGACGACAGCACTTGTGTCTGTCTAATGCTAGAAAATCTATCAAGACAGTTTATTTTCCTTGCTCTAAATTCACACATGGTTTACGAGGACTCTCCATAGGCCTAATGCATATTGTGTACTGTAAAAAACCTCCTATTATATGGTGTTACCCGAAATGCAAACCTCACAGAAAACATGTGGCAACATTAAGTATAATGTTGAAGCATTTTGAATTACAAGGACATGGCTTGTGTCCTCGTAATTACAAATGCTTAATAATTATACTAATTGAGGTCTCTAAACAACTTAATAGAGTGCAACTAGGCCATACCCATGTCATTATTAAAATTGTGTGTCCTTGTAAACCACATAAGCAAGCAATTGTGAATTGTGAATTGTGGGGACATTCCTTAAGTTTACACTATTTTTTTGTCCCAAACCTATCCCAAAACCTTTTAGGAATCTGCATTTTTTTTACTTTATGAATAAATAAAATATAAATTCTGTATGATTTATAAGCCTTTTGTAAAATGGGAACATGGGCAATGTCCTCATAAGTCACCTTATCCTGTAATACCCTTGTAAAAACTATATTATACACATTTGAGTTCTGATAAGTCATACAAAACCGTACACACACAGTAGGGCTGCACAATATATTTAAAAATTATGGTTATCGCTATAATAGCATATGCAATATGCATATCTCAGACATGTTTCCCAGTACTGGGTTGGGCATCTGCTGCGTAAACATATGCTGGAATAGCTGGCGGTTCATTCCGCTGTGGCGACCTCATAAATCAGAGACTAAGCCCAAGGAAATGAACATGTGTGATAAATTACATTTTATTTTATGTTGTTTATCTGAATTTGACCAATCAGACGGGCCCTTACAATCTTTAACCCCGCCTCCTAGTAGTTGCTGTTCTGCTATTAGCCCAAAGGTGAATCCAGAGCTGAATATAAACACTAAAATCGGGATTTAAAATACAAAAAAACAGCCAATCAGGGAGAATCAGAATTAATTAGATCTGAAAAATAGCTTTCACCTGTTTATTTTAATATCATAAATAAATACATTTAAGAACAGCTAATAAAAAATAGCTTTTTTTTAGGGAAAAATCATAAGAAATATAATTATTGCAATACTCTGATACAGTCACAGGCCTTAAAAACACATGTAAATGATCAACTTTTGCCCAATTGTGGTAAAAATCTTCAATAACTACGGCTCCTGATCAACGAAAATCCCAATTCAACACTGCAGATCCTGCGATGTGGCTATTGAGGATACACACATTGCAGTATCAATGCTAAAACAATTATGCAGCTCTACTGTATATAACATTAAATGACAGTGATGTTGTTTTGCATCCTGCACTGAACATCTGACCTCGTTTATCAAACCATATTACAGCTTTTCTTTAATAGGCTTCATCTTTTGACGGCGCTGGATGAACGCTGTTTTCTTACATCTCCCTCTGTCAGAAACGTGGATTATGTGAATCTGTTCTGCGAAAGGATTTGATGCGGGAAAAGAAACGGGGCGCACGTGTCTATCCGCTGCGATTAAACTATGATAAAGCACTTCAGAAATATAGTTAATGTTCTGTGGCTTTCGAACGGTTGTCTGAGAGTAAGTGTTTGAGCACATGTGCTGAAACAGCTGAGCAACACAGCTGACAAACCCTAGATAGAGCAGACCGTCAACACAAACCTGCTGCTTCACAAATCATCTCCATTTAACCTGCAGCTTAGAGAAAGGGGGTTTGTGGAGTTTTTAGACGGGCTGACTTTACTTTAAATAGATGAGTAAACCTGTTTTATTTACAAGGGGTTAGGTTGACTTAACTTAATTTTTTTATTATGTACTTATTGCATTTAATTTTAAGGTAAAAGGTTTATTATTTATTAAAGTAAAGTCAACTAATCGCTTTACAGCAACAGGTTTACTCACTTTATTAAAGTAAAGTCAACTAATCGCTTTAACAGCAACAGGTTTACTCACTTTATTAAAGTAAAGTCAACTAATCGCTTTAACAGCAGCAGATCTACTCACTTTATTAAAGTAAAGTCAACTAATCGCTTTAACAGCAACAGGTTTACTCACTTTATTAAAGTAAAGTCAACTAATCGCTTTAACAGCAGCAGGTTTACTCACTTTATTAAAGTAAAGTCAACTAATCGCTTTAAAAGCAACAGATTTACTCACTTTATTAAAGTAAAGTCAACTAATCGCTTTAACAGCAACAGCTTTACTCACTTTATTAAAGTAAAGTCAACTAATCGCTTTAACAGCAGCAGATTTACTCACTTTATTAAAGTAAAGTCAACTAATCGCTTTAACAGTAACAGGTTTACTCACTTTATTAAAGTAAAGTCAACTAATCGCTTTAAAAGCAACAGGTTTACAACAGGTTGTATATGCAATTTTAAAAAGTATTTTATATATATATATATATATATATTTTTTTTTTTTCATTTGTTTAAAGGTTATTCACAGATACAAATAATCATGTTTAAAGTTGAGTGTTTAAAGCACGCTAATTATTTTAGTAAAGTAAAATTGAGCCATTATGAAGCAATTAAACAGGGAACTGAAGCGCCATTTCAATCAGGCTGTGATCAGACGTGTGTTATCTCTCTCCGTCTTGTCCTCAGAAATCTCTAATCGCTGATATTATTGTGTTAAACTCCAGACAGATTGAGCTTTAATCTGTCTGTTGCAAATGAGCTGAAATTACATTCACGCCCCACTCAGATT